AACACCAATTGTTGACTCGAGGATTCTTTATTGCTACACCAACATATAAATCACGTATGACTAATGTCTGTGAACAAATATTACAATAATAAATCACAATATTACTTCTGACGGTTTTCTGCTGACTTCTTTCTGAACAGCGACCGATGAGACGATGACTGTCGTCTTGATGTCTCCGCGAAAATTGGGGAAGTTGGGTTTGAGCAAACAACCATGAATTGATCATTCAATCTTCAACTATATTGACAAATGTGTATTAACCGATGCGAAAACCAGAGCACAGTTTGGCGTCTTTAGAATCCTTTATTCTTACGCCAATATATAACCAGAAATAAGGTTATTATACTCAAGGTCTAAGAATAAATGTTATAGCAATTATTTACGATAATACTTCTGATCGTTTTATCTCTTCCACCGAACAGCGAACGATAAGACGATGACTGCCGTATCGATGACTCCCGCGAAAAATATGGAGATGGTTTTGAGCAAACAACCATGAATTGATCGTTCAATCCTCAACTACATCGACAACTTGTCAGAGTGGTACGTGCAATGGATGCTCCCGTTATGTATGACAAAATGTTCAACCATGCACATCGGAGAATCAAGCACTATCTTCTTAAAACTAGAGGGAATAACACTTTCGTCAGTTTAGACTCACTTGGACTTATTAATATGTGTGTAAATCTTGGACACTGTAAGTAATTGTATATTAGTTTGTTTACTAGATGTATCACACAGTGAAACAGTATTATTTACTGGATTACGTTTGGAACAAAATTTATTGTTCACAATCATATCAGTTGTATCATATCATACACAACTGATATGATTATGAACAACAAATTTTGTTCCAAACGTAATCCAGTAAATAATACTGTTGCACTGTGTGATACATGTAATAAGCAAACTAATATGGAATCACTTGGACTTAGGTGTCATAGATAGCCACGATTTAGAAACTATAGCACACTGTCGCGCGCTGGCTGCATGTAGCTCCAGTGCCTTATGGGCAATTCGCAGAGCCTTTACTAGAATTATCAGAGATATGTACACCCCCTTACTTACATGTCTGTTGAGGTTAAGACTGGAAAGCTCTATCCGGGCAGCCAGTACTTGCCTAAAACGGGACTCACATTCTAGAAAGGGTTTAGAGGAAGGAAACACGTATGGTTCTCGGCATGACTGACTTATCATATTAGGAAAGACAAGACAGTTTAAATCTCTTCTCCCTGTCATACCGTAGGCAGAGGGGAGATTTAATCACAATGTTAAAAATTTTAAATAATGACTACTGCCCTGACTTATTCTCTCTTTTCTTTCCCATCAGGCCGAATTACCTTTGAGGACATGGCAGGAGAGTTCGAAAGCCGAGAAAAAATCATATAGTTGTCGAGTATTGGTTCTCACACCGAGACATAAACTCTTGGAACCGACTGACTCCCAGAAGAAGTGGTGTCTACAACCTCAATTGTTTTATACAGTAAGGGTTTGAACAATCAAAGAAATTTACTAGAAATGATTATCACAGGTTTCAAGCACTTATCCTCAACCAATAAATCTGAATATGTATGCAATTTTGCCAAGCAGGTATTGAACACTTCAATGAACTTAAGGCGCACTGTCGGAATATGTCGCTACACCAGTAGAGCTGTTACGTGCGTTTTTTGTTTTGACTTCTTAAGTTTGTAGAAATTAGCTGGTAATGTTTTATGGCGAAGTTTAAGAATAGCGTCCCAAAACCTTCAACGCTCAAATGACCTTGAACGCATGCTAGTCGTTGGCTAACGGTTCCTGTCATTATCATAGCTGAAATATCAACCCTATTCATCAAATAAGGAGCAAGTTTCACCCAGATAACACTTTTATTACTGTTTGGACAATGTGTTAACATCTCGTTAGGGTTAGGATAGGGGTTAAGGCGAGTATTGTGGTTAGGGTTAGGGTTTAGGGTTAAGGTTAGGGTAGCGATTAGGAATAGATTTTTCGTTTATTTTAAGTTCTTTTATCATCCTTATTTCCCTTGTATGTAGTCGCCAATGCTCTTACTGGGACCATAGTAACTAAACCGAGGGCTTAGGAGAGGACTAAACAGCAATGGAAGAGAGATGAACAATTCACAAAACAGCCAATCTTCAGTCATTTTGGTGAATACATCTACAGAAACTAGTCCAAATTAGCAGCTGATACTCTTCATCGCAACTGGAACGTATTTTTAAGTCATATCAGAGAAATATAATCCGTTTAATGTGTTTTGATGCATTTTCTTGTGAATATACGTCATTTTTCGTGCAAAAATTCCTCATTTTTATGATTGGCTGTCTGAAGGTCACTCATGCGTTCGCATCCCTTGGGACGCTATTGTTGAACTTTGCCTGTTTTATCATAGGAAACCAGTAATGGTTGTCATTCAATATATATTTTTCTAAGGGGTGATTCCCTACGGATAAAATTAACTATAGTATGATAAAATGTAGTGCTAAATAGTTCAAATACTCCTAGTTACATGGAATGACATTGCTAATAGCTGTGGAGTTCAGTCCCAAAATATGGGCATTACAATTTCACTTGACGTTTTTTGACACATTGTCGGTATCTTCGAGAGATAACTGGCCCTAAATGTACAGCGGTTAGGACGCTAGCCGACCATGCACATGGTCCGGCGTTCGATCCCCTGCTGACGCACACCTGATATCTATGGTCGGCCTGCAAAATTTGGGCTACTGATATCCATGCTGAAAATTCTATACTTGTACCGAAAATACAGTGTGGAATCGAGTTGTAAATCAAAATCAAATCAAATCATTGGAAATGTATAGGTATTGAACCAGCAGCCGCAGAATTAGAAACCAGATACTGGTCAGGTGGGACCATAACTTTAAGAAACAGTATCTCGCTAATATTTCAAGCGCTTGGTTGCTGTGTAAGTGTCCGTTTAGTTTTACCACGTAAGCTACTCAGTCAAATTTCGTCGCAATCGTAATCGCAGTAAATTAGAAGTGAGTGAATAATAGCATAATCATGAGAAAAAGTTTTGAATGGAGTTTAAAGATTTCAAGCAGTATACTGAGCACGATTTAGGCTAGGGTTATGACAAAGACTAGTTCGGTTTAGTTTAATCCAATTAGGGAGATATTAAAGTTGTATCTGCCAATTTGAATGACAATCTTTGTGGTTAAATACATTTAGTGAGGTTGAAATATTGTATGTATGCTTTGATTTTTCGATTAGTGAGTCCAATGAACCATAGAACACCTTCAATTGTAGCCCTTACTGGTAACGGGGTTATTATCTCTTCTCAACAAGCAGTGTTGACTGAGGTAGAACTAGGATAGATGAGTGGTTTATACCTTGGCGTAAATCCATGATGTCAGTGGTATTCTGAGCCGTTTAATGAATTATTCGGGAATGTAGCAAAAGCCGTCCACCATTTCATAGACGTATTCTCACTTTATCATCCACAAAAGTGTGAATATCTACATTATTGTTCACTAAGTTATTTTTTCATGTTTTGTAGTCTTTTATAAATTTTCGAAGTGGAAATTTTTTGAAATTTTTATTTGTAAGTCAGATGTCTGTCTGTCTGTCTGGATTCAACATAGAACTTGGCACCGAAGTGCACCATTTCGAGTTGCCACGTTCCAAATAGCACACAAAGGTAGACAAGATGAGTGAAGAGAATCAATAGAGTTTGACAAGTATAAGAGCGAAACAGAATGGGTAATGGTAGAAAGGAATATGAAAGATTACAGAGACTGAATACATCTGCGCTGGCCATTGACAACGATTTTCAGCCATGTCACCTATTGTCTCCAGCCATTGATTTCTAGAGTCAGTCCCGAGGGCCCCAACCCGGAAGTCTGCATCTCCCTACCTGACCGACTCAGTTTAACTGTCAAGGATTTCATGGATTGATGAGGCCATGTTTTTGTTTGGCCACCACTGGCTCTTTTCCAACCTTCACCTATATCAGCTAGCAATGCCCGTCGGGCGGGGGAGGCGGTGGTTAGGCATGCGCAGCACGTGACCTAGCCATTTTAGTCTATGTAACTAAGTCAGATGTAAAACATCGCGGTTCGTTAATCGATACGAAACTGACTGCTTAAGTTTCAACAGAAGACTTTGCATAAAGTGCAGCACTTCTAGTTGCTACACTCTATGTTTTGCCCAAAAATGGTAGAGATTCAAAATAACTATAATGAGCAGAATCTGTGTGTGTGCGTGTGGAAGAATAGTAACAGTAATAAGCATGAGTTAATTGGTGACTGGTGACTAGTAGTGGAATCCAGTGATGTTCCCATCGCGGCTCGAGTGGCCCAAGTGTTCTAATGGATAAGGCTTTGGTGTTTGAAACAATGGTCACTGGGTTCGAGCCTCGGTGGGAACATCACTGGATTCCATCGCTAGTCATCATCCACCAATTAACTTCTAATTACACGCTTAGACATCGTCGAGACATCTGCACAAAAAGCCGACAGACGTGTCAACCTGAAACCGAGCACTTCGGTCCAATCAATGAATCGATGGGAAAATCTAAAATTGAATCAAAAAAACATGTGGTTTTAATAGATATGGGAGATTACATATAGTGAGTGTATCTGCGCCATTGAGAACGATTATCTCCAGCTACTGATTATTTGTATCCTGAGGACGCCAATCGGGTAGTTTATATCTCCCTACACGACTCAAACTAGCTGTCAAAAACTTCATGTTAATGCAGAAAATGAAATAAAGTATTTTCGGCTAGATAAGAAATGGAATAAAATGGTAAATGTCGAACGTTATACATTTTTAGCTGTTATTCTACATATATTTCAATGTAATTCGTAGTTTTATTTAAACATCTGACTCTTCTTTTGTATTACCTTAATTTTCAGATCATAACGAATTGACAGTAACACTAAACTTTTATATTACAATATTATCGAGGAACAAATACTATTAGGCAAACTGAAACGAACTTGTTAAAAGTCTTATAAATATATCTATTATTGCTTTTAATGGTATCACTGTGTTTCTTAAAACCTTCGATTTACCTTTCAAGACGAACATTCTTTACATCGAGGATTAATTATTCACCGCGTAGTATCTTTTCAGATGATAGTTATAGACTTCGTACATTCCTTAATTATACTATGTCATTTGGTATATTCATGATTGGTTTTGGATATGGTACTGTGCCGTTATATCGTTTGTATTGTACGGTAAGTTGGAAAGTTTATTTTATCATACTGGTTTTGTATTGGTATTTCTGGAGATAATTATTATTACAGCTATGGCTTGAGAATTCAACTTCAAAATGATAAATCTTTGGTTCAAATTGTACTCCGCTTATTTCTGTCCTGGGGTGAAGGAGGGAGGTGTTGGCGTCTGGGTATTATTATCGACCATTACACTTTGGATTTGACTTATAGCCTGTTATATGTATTATCGTTAATAATTAATAATAGTACTGATATCATTATTGAGGCAAACTTAGTACATTATGGGCACCAAGCGATGTGCCACACTGAATCTCATAGTTTGTGCGAGAGGTACGATACTTCCTGGACGTACAGACTGAAGTAGGTGGCTGTCTTAAGGAGCCACCCTCTACGAGCCTTCGACTTGAAGTGTGATCCACAAGGCAGTGGAGCAACGTCGGGTGCTGTGTTTCTATGGTTGACGTTGACTAAAACAGGTCCACACTCCATTTGATCCTTTTGGATTCTGGAGCCCTTGTATACCATATACTTGGAATCAAGGTTTTCCAGCCCCTCCCCCTTCTGTAGACCAACATGTCCAACATTCCGGTTGTAAGCATGAGACGTCCTCATTTGTCGTTTCGCTTCTGTGAGGAGTATCCCCGCTGCATGAAGGCGGTGAATAGAACTTACCTGGCGGAGCCCATGGTCTGTCTGTCTGTTTTCGACATAGAACTTTACACAAATGTGCGGAAGTTCAAGTCGCCACACTCCGTGTAGCACGCAAAGCAAGAGAAGAAAGTACAAGAAAAGCATAATAGAAACAGTGAGCAGATGTGTGAGACAAAGGAGTAATAAAGAAAAACAAAACAGTTTCATTGGAGATCATAAGTCACAAGGAGTGGATGCATCTGCGCTAGCCACTGAGAACGATTTTGAGCCATGTCACCAATTGTTTCCAACCATAGGTTTTTACCGTCCCGAGGACCCCAGCCTGGAAGTCTACACCTTCCTACGTGGCTTAGACCAACTGTTGTGGATTTCATTGACTGGTAAGGCCAAGTTTTGTTTGACCGCCGCTAGCTTTTTTCCAGCCTGACCCTATATCCGCTAACATTGCTCGTCGAGGGAGGCGATGACTAGGAATATCTACGTAACACATGTCCTAACCATCTCAGTCTTTGTAGCTTCACGACTTCGTCGATTGAGCCCATGGACGCGTAACCATATGAGAAAAGCATTTCAAAGGGAAGACAGCAGCCTACTCACTGTCGTTTTTACTACGGCATGTTTGCGGGGTGGTGTAGATTGTGTTGGTAAAACTGTGTGAGGTACCCTTGGCAGGTTGGTTATCGATCCCAATCGTGGGTACCAATTAAAGGTGAAGTAAGAATCTGGGTCACAGTAGAATTCGGACCAGTGACCTCCAGATTACGCAACATTTCTCTGTAATCAGCACGAGTTGTGCCTATCTGTCATATTTTTCTCTTTTGCTTTTTTGTCTCCACTTATAACAGAAAACAGGTAGCGGGACGAATGCAAATTTTGCTAAGGCCAAAACCGAGAAAATTAGAAGTATGAAACCAGTAAAGGATTATGAATTAGTTGTGTATTTCGCTGCTGATACATATTCAAAAATGGCATGGAAATTTAAACCATTACAAAAAGAGGTCAGTTTACCTTATTATTATTATTATGACTGTCATTATATATATATATATATATAATAACACCAAGACCCACTCTACAACTCGCCCCTAAGAAAGCGCTACCCTATATGGGGCATCACAGCAGCTTGATAACTAGACAAAGATTGAACGCTGATGTGGTTAAAAAGACTTTTTATGCAGCTAATATCATAATAATTGAGAATGTAAAGCCAATATATCTGTCTAAGCCCTTCTAACATACGAAAAATGACGTTACATCCCACTGTATTTACCAATTTGAATGTACGTATGAACACACATACATAGGCAAGACTCATCGATCTATGTAAGTAAGGACTGGCTACAGAGCATATTCCTAAATGGTTCCAAAAACAAATGGAATCTTCAGAGCCCATTAATGGTAAGAACAGTCGACGACCTAGCTCCTCTATTGCGAAACATATTATAGAGACAGGATATAAAATTGACATTAACACATCTTTTAAACCTATCTATAACACGTGTTTGGGGGAGAGCGTATCCTAAAGTTTGTGGAAGCCCTGGCTGGCAGTTAGGAAGTTTAAACCACCTTTATGCTTTCAAAGCAATAATTCGTCATAACATTAAACCTTTCTTGGTAAATTTTGTTTTGATACCATAGTAGATGTACTATTATCTCTGTGATTTCGTTTAGTGGTCTTCATTGTTATTTTGACCTAGAATATGTCCTTTTAACTTGACCCATCTATTTTCTCACCTCTTAACTCTTTATTAATTTCATATATATTCCTATGACAAGTAGGTGTGTGATCAGATTGTTCGAAATGTGTTGCCCAAATACTGCATTACACGATTCAGACAAATTACGTCTTCTTATTGCTTTGTCTAACTAAATTCATAAATTGTTTTAAATGATTATTATTTCCTTTCCATTCCTTTGTGTTCTGAGGGGGACATACGCCTTCAGACTTTGGAGTTTCAGTAGCGGTTGCGTTCGCTGACTTTTTTACGAGGTTGGGTTGTTAGCCTCAGGCTAAACCTTTCCTGTGCTCTTCAAGGTTGCTACCGGCTGGCAAACTAGGCGAGCTGTAAGAGTGTATCGGCTAGGAATCGAGTCCTAGATCACATGGGGATTTAATAAAACTAGATCTCAAGCAGTGCGATGCCAGTCTAAATCTCCCATACACAGCACAAACCAACAGTCAAGGACTTATTCAATTCATGTTATCTATTCGTGTAACCATTAGTAACTATTTTCCAATCCGATTCTGACTTCACTTAACACCCAGTCACACACGAATTCTATTCCATGGGATTCTGTTCCGATGCTTGCCTTATGATGCAAAAGTTGTGAGTTCTCACCCTCAGTGGGTTATTGGTGTCTGCCTCTGACGAGAGTGAAGCCAGAATGAAACAACTGTCTAGTAGTACTGCCTGGTTTTCAATACTTTTTCATTTGTGTATCGTTAGTTCAGTGGTAGAATGCTTGCCAGCCATGCAGAAAGTCCGAGTTCAATTTCCGGCTGACGCGCTCCTAAACCTCTATTAGTTGGTGGTAAGGCTGGAGACGAAGTAAGGGAATAACAGTGATAAGGAAGGCTTTGTGTGCTTATTGTTGTGTCTGGTCAGTTATCACTTCCCGTACAATGGAAATTGATTTCTTCTTAGCGTCAGTGTTGCGTGACGGTTAAGACCAAAAGGACAACTGCTTGAGGCCAGTCACACACAATCCATTTGAGTTGGTTTTTGGAGTTGTATCTGTATTAAGATCTTACCGTCACGATGCAGTCTGTGGGTCAACCTTCTCCAACGTCTCCATTTTCAAAGTGGAAAGGTAGCATAACCGGCATGTTGGTCATCTGAGGGAAACATCTCACTGCTGTTACATTTCTGTTCATCAGCAGTACGATTTCGTTCACAGACCTTAACATGGTGCATACTATCAACACTATGATGGTATCTCTATCCAAACGACCTTTTTGGAATGGAACATTAATTCGATCAAGTCTACGTTGTTGGGTGGTTGCGTTAGGGAGGCCTGACCACCACGTCAAGATAGCAGCTATCGGTTGAGGGAAAAGAGTAAAGGTTGGTTGTGAGACTAACAACTCCACTCCGTAAAAACGACGATGCCACCGCTACTGAGACCGCAAAACTTGAATCCCTGAAAATGAAAAAAAACACAACAAAAGGAAAGGATACTTTGTCGTCTTTAAACCAAACAGACTTTTAAAATTACTCAATTAAACCGGAAAAATGATTTCAAACGCACACACACACACATACTCCGCTAGTCACGGAGAATAGTATTTAGTATTAGGTGGTTGGAGGCAGTCGGCAGAATGCCAGGGACCTAGGTTTCGTGCTAGTTGGCACTCATCATCAGGGGGTGTCTGCAACCTCGAAGGCACTTACGTTCTTTCTGAGATTCGAACCCGCGTCACCCAGTGCTGCAGTCAGTCAGAGACGTTACCACTGAGCTATTCAGTCTCACCATTTCACAGTGCACCGTAATGGCCAGCCAACTAGTGGCATAATGGCTACATTGCAAGCTTGACGGATAGAATTCAGTCTGCACTGAAGATAGGACTAGACACATTACACTAGTTACTGACTAGTGTCCAATCAAAAAGAATAATATTTGGCTGTGTATGTGTTTAATTTTAAAATGAGTGACCGAGAACCCCGAAAACAATCAGTACTTCGAAGAAAAGAAAGTATTATTATTATTGTATCCTTTAGTTCCTAGAGGAACAGGGCTTCAGCTGCGCACCTCCATTGCCTTCTGTTTTCTGCCAACTTCTTCACCCCGCTCCAAATCTGCCCACATGCTTTCATCTCCTCTTCACTCACATGACCTCCTCCAGGTCAACCTTGCACTGACGACCAACTCGCCGCTTCCCTCTCGGGTTCCACTCGAGGGTTTGTCTAGTGATATGTCACTTGATGGTTTCCTAAGTGTATGGCCAATCCATCTCCATTGGACTTAGGACTAATTATCCTGTATATTTCGTATACAAAGATCTAGTTTCAACGACTGAATGGGACAGACTTTAGCAGACCCAGACAGTTTCTTGTGGGTTTACTTATCATTATAACTAAGGCTTTTACTGTCATCGACATTATGCCATCACGAGTATCTGTGGAGCTGCAGCTTGTTGGTTTTGACGCTAGACTTCTGGGTTCGACTTTGTTACAGTATTCACACCCTACGCTCCATTTGACGAGGTTTAGGCAGAATTTAGGATTTAACTCATGGATCGCCATAGCTCCTGTGACTTGAGTTTACTTCGTAAGGCTTTGGTTAGATCCCCGCGTACTCTGTAGATAACTCTGAAGTTGATTTGCGAGCTCGCTAGGTGTTTCAGAATAGAGCTGCAGAGGGATCTTATTTCTCTTCTTGAGGGCGTCTAGATAGCAAATTCTGGGTTGAGTATGGCCTACTACACCTAAATTCAGAGGACCAGGTGAATTGTTATGCAGGTATATATCGATGACGTCAGCAGAGGTAAGTTATCTTTGATTTTGTAGAGAAAGAAAGTCAAAGTTCAGCTGCGGAAAATATTTTCCCAATGAATTGGACAGACACTTTCTTGGTATTTCTGATGGTGAGTCTCCACTGTATCGCACATTAAGATAAAGAAGTTTCTTGTGGATGGAAAGTGTGTATGTGTGTAGCTTTGGTGTAGTCTTCATGTATTTTGCGATGGAGCGTTCAGAGTAAGCCATTTTCAATGAGAGTCTTTTTTGGAGTTCTCACCCCCACTTCCACGGTGTTCAGAGAGGCAAATACTGCAGAATCTATGATTCATTAACCATATCAGGCCCCGTTTTGTATGTAAAGTGGCACCCAACTGCAGAAGTTCGTGAGTTATCTGTTTTTTTGTTGGTTTTGTGTAGCTGAATTCTTTTCCCATGTTTCATTGTGGGCTGAACATCTTGGAAGGATATTCTTGAATCACTTCGTTAAATGTCAGATGTTGCTTGAGAACTCGTCTACACTAACTCTTAGCTTAAAATCGGGCTTTAATTTGTAGAGTATGTTGATTAGCCCTAATGCTTTAATTGTAGACGAAATTTCAGTACGCATACAAAGGTTCATATGGGATTCGCCAACTTACATCATCTATGGCATAGACGTGATATCTAGCTATCGATCAAACGACGTATGTATGGAGCAGCAGCAGTTCTATCCTCATAGCCGTTGGAAAAGGAAGATATGAAGACGTTCGCGGTGTTTGATTGTAGGTATTTGTGTTCTGTCTGCTGATTGATCGGGGCGAGTAGTGCATGCACACCAGCCAACCAGATCGAAGTCATTTAAATACCAGTTGACCGTTTCCATTGTCGGAGACCAAGCTGACCAGTGGTGTACCGGGTTTGGCTGAGCTAAGACAGCTGATTTCTGGCTAGCTACTTGGCAAACTGGTGTGCATATTCATGCTTACTTTCTCATTTACCACTTGTGTGGTATCAAGAAGATCGCATATTGTTAAAATTGTAGACTGCAAATTCGATTTGATCTCTCGTGTTGTGTTGTAATCTGATAGGCAATATTAAGATTGGCGTAGAGTGTGTTAGGTGAGGGGAGAGAGTCAATAGGTGAGATTGTGAAGCTACTACATGACATGGAATAGCCTTTCTTAATGTACAATGTCACAATGACACACGAGCTAGGGGGTGGTAGTCATGCTAAAGCCTGAGATCAGCCCCGTGGAGTCTTTGACTGTTGGTTTGATCTACAGTGAGACGTGTAGACTGCTTGGCTAGATCCTTCGGACCCTAAGACCTAATGTCTGGAGACTGTTGCTGATGTCTGAAAATCTCCTTTTTAGCGTGGAACAGATGCATTCACTCTATGCAAACTGCCGAATCCATTGAGTTCTCGTTATTCACCATATAATTCTCCCATTCAGGAAGGTATGGGAGATTGAGGATGTACCATCAATGTTGAATGAGCCATTATCGTCTCTGTCTTTAAAAAGGATCGACGTAACACATGTGGCAACCATAGAGAGGGGGATCTCAGTCTGCTACCACTTGTGTCTGGAATATTGTCTGCTGTCTTTCTTCTCAGGCTGGGTTTCGTTCAGGCCGTGGATGCATTGATCATGTGTTCACCCTTCGTCAGTCGTTAGAACACTACAACACGTACTGCAGGCCAACAATCGTTGTGTTTCTTGATATTAGGGCTGCTTTCGATTCGTTGGATAGAACTGTGCTCTAGAACTTTTTGTTAGAAAGGGGCGTACTTGAGAAGTTTGTGAAAATCCTGAAAGCCGTTTACAGAAACACCTCAAGTAGAGTGAGGGTATACAGCCAGCTATCTTCACTGTTCCCAACCAACAGTGGGATTAGACAGGGTTGCCCAATCTCTCTATTTCTCTCTAACTTTGCCATCGATGACATTCTGGAGTCCGCTCTGAAGAAAGTGAGTGAAGGTAATGTAGATCTGCACCCTGGATGGAGACTTTCCGACCTCGAGTATGCAGACGATATCGTCTTACTGTGGGATAGCATGCATGCTGCCCAAATCGCGCTTAATCAGTAGGCGATCAGTGTCTGTATGGTATGTGCTTTGCGCCGTCCAAGTGCAAAGCACTGTCACAAGGTTGGTAGGAGTCTGTACCTCCACTCACTCGTGCTAGTGTACCGCTTGACGTTGTCGACAAGTTTGTGTATCCGAGTAGTTGTGTGATTGCTGCCAGAAGGGTAACGGATGAGATTTCCAACCGTATCATGAAAGCTAGGGTGGCAAACGTTAACTTGAGCCACCTCTGGCGCCGTCGCGATGTCAGACTGGCTGTCAAAATTCGGGTTTGCAATGCTTCGGTGCGTACTGTCTCGCTCTACGCCTGTGAAACCTGGCCTCTCCGAGCTTAGGATGTACGGCGACTCTGCGTGTTTGATCGTCGCTGTCTCCTTAGGGTTGCGTGTGTTCGTCAGCATCATCATGTGAACAATTCTGAGGCCTAGTGGCGTGTTTTGGGAAGCAGTGGAGATCACCACTCGTTGAGTGTTGTCATCTGGAAACACTAGCTGCGAATGACATCCTAGAGGCTTCTTTACAGGTCTCTGTTCACTAGCCCTGGGACGGGATGGAGAAAGTGGAGAGGTGGTCAGCCCATGACTTGGCGTCGTGGGATGAAGGATATTTGTATTAGGTTAGCATGGTTTGGCGTCCGAAAGATAGTTCTCGAATCGGTGGCTCGAAACTTTATCGGACATGGCCAAGAATCGCGAACATGCTGCAATATCCTGCTTTCTCCCGTTTCCGATGATAATTGACAAATTCTGCTTGAACTTGTTAAATATGACTGTTTTCCTTCCAGATGAAGTTCCGTATCCGTTCTCCACCTATATTTTTTACTTTTAATCTCATAAGTTGTTTTATTGTTATCATTCCGTGGCGCATCTTCTTGGTACCATATTGTATCAAGTTTTTCTTGCATATAGATAATTATAATAATTCTTCCATTTACCCCTTACATTTCCGTTCATTATGATTCTTTGAATTTCTATTCTCTACTTTTGTGTGCTACGCAGTAGTGTGGCAACTGGAGCAAGCTGCTGCTTCACTTCTCTGCTGGAATTCAGTTAGTCAGTCATTTTTTTCCACTCAGATTCCTTCTGTAATATGAATTTGATTGAAGGGTGAGGTAGCGCTATCGAGAAAAAATCTATCGAATATCTTTCGAATTAATTAATTTATTTTTAGGTTAATTTACAATTTTCCGTTGATTGATTGATTAATTATGCATTGGATCGAAATGTTCGACCTCGGTATGTGTGTTGATATGTCAGCTTCGAGTAGAGGTGGCTTCAATGATGTCTAAGAATTAACTTGAAGTCATCGGGGTTGGTAGTGACAAACAGTGGAATACAGGATATACATTTCATCTTTGAGTAGCCGTCTTCAAATGTTTGGCATGCGATTCTCTCCCTTTGGCAAATGCGTAATATGATGCTACAGGACTGGACTACATTGATTCTTAGCTTGAAGATAGGGAGGGAAGTGGTTGGTGGAGCATGTTTGACCACCTCACTTATTCGGAATTCGCATCAGCCAACGCCGTCTAGTTGATCTCTGACGAAATCTCAGCACGGTTACAGAAGGCTCGTTTGGAATTTGCCAACAAACGCCATCTCTGGCGTAGACGTAATATCCGGCTGGCTGTCGACCAAAGGACGTATGTGCTGCTCAGCAGAAGTTCTCTCTGTCCTCCCATGTGGCTGTGAGTGAGACATGGCCAGTGAGAGTGGAAGAAATGAAAAAGCCGGCTAGCTGTCTTTGGTCATAGGTGCCTGCGATCTATCTCCCGTGTCAAGTGGTAAAATAAGGTGGTCAATATTGAGGTTAGGCGTCGGTCAAGTGCTAGGTAGTTGAGATGGGAAATCAATCGATGATGAGGTTGTGAAGTCACATCGATTGAGATGGCTGAGATGTGTGCTACGCAAGCTTGTTCAGCCATCGCCTTCTTCGACAGGCAATCTTAGCTGACATAGCTAGTGGTGATCAAACCGAAACATGGCTTCATCAGTCAATGAAATGTTTAATAGTTAGTGTGAGCCAGTCAGCCAAGTAGGGAGGTGTAGACTTCCTGACTGACTGTTTGAGATCCTTGGGATGTTAAAAACAAATGAAGGCTAAAGACAGTTGGTGATATGGCTGAAAGTCCTCGTTGTCAATAGCTCACTCAGATGCATCGACTCTTTGTGATTTATCACATCCAATAAAATCCTGCTGTTCTTCCATATTTCTATGCTTCCTCCTCCACTCACACTTCTGTTTTTAATCTCTCTTTAGTCTGTCCTCTTGCTATGCGTGGTACATGGAGAGAGAGAGAGAGAGAGAGTGGCAACTCGAACTGCTGCACATCTGTGTAAAGTTCTGTGTTGAAAGCAGTCAGTCAGTCAGTCAGTCATTCCTATTTAGGACTCGTCAACTGTGAATGTACTTGCCAATCTCCAGTAAGTGGTGATGTTCCCACCAAGACTCGAACTCAGCACTCCTCGTTCCAAACACAGATTAGAGTGTTATACACTTGACTGAGTGGGAACACACTCATCACTCACTAAGGATTACAGATTACGACTCCGGAATATGGACGAAATGCGCGTTGTCTTCCGATTTTACTCTGCTAGTCATTAACTTCACATTATTCCCTTTATTATTAGATATTGTAATTATGATAATCAATCAGTCATTGTGTTTGTTTCTTCTTTTTTAATAATTATATTCTTCTAGTTGACTGTTGTCCCTGGTGAAACAGCCTTGGCATTTTATTCCGCTGAAAACCCAACAGATAAACCGATTGTCGGCATTGCTACTTATTCTATTGTTCCATTTGAAGCATCAAAATATTTTAATAAAATACAAGTAAGAATATATTTGATTGTTTGTTTGTCTATTTGTATGTTCGTTCTAGTTTTTACATTTCAGTTATTGTAGTTATGCTACACTTCTGTGTGTTTACGTTTGTGTAAGAACTTGTGTTAGTAGTAGGTGAAATTAGGTCTAAGTAAATAGACTTACTAGTGCGTCACTGGTTCCATGGTAGGTAGAATATTAACCAACCATGCACGTGATCCGGCTTGATTCCAACCTGACTCACCCCTCTCAACTCGTGTCTGCTTTACCAGCCCTATTATTATTATTATTATTTCCTTTAATTCCTAGAGGAACTTGGGACTTCAGCCGCGCGTCTCCATTGCGTTCGGTTCTCTGTTAAAGTTTTCACCTGGCTCCGGGTCTGCCCACATGCTTTTATCTCCTCTTCACTCACATGACCTCCTCCAGGTCACCTTGCACTGACGACCAACTCACCGCTTCCCTTTCGGTCGGGTTCCACTCGAGCGATGGCTTGTATAGTGATGTCACTTGATGCATTGTTTCTTCAGAGTATGGCCAATCCATCTCCATTTCTTCCTGCCTATTTGTCTCACAATCGGTTCCCGGTTGGTTCGCTCATTGCCAGAGATCCCTGTTGCTGATCTTTTCTGACCGGCCATCTGATCTTGAGTATCGGGCGAAGACAGCTGTTGATTAAGGTCTGTAGTTTGTTTGAGATGCTCTTAATGAGGCACTGGCCAAGTCTCTGATCCGTATAGTAGGACTGACTTCACATTGGAGTTGAGAATCCGGGTCTTATTTTCATTTTCATGCTGAGTGCTATTGATCTCCTCACAGACTTCAGAGTAATGAAAGCTTGTCTTGCTTTCCCGATTCTTGCTTTGATATCCTCGTCAGTTCCTCCTGTAGTTGAAACGATGCTTCCTGGGTACATAAAGGTTGTTTCTTTCAGGTTCCTCCCATTCATGCTGATTGTTGTCTGTTGTTGTTGCTGCTGCTGTTGGCCAGGAGTCTTCATCACCTCTGTTTTCTCTATGTTCACCTGAAGGAAGTCCTATCTTTGACGCTTCTTTTCCCAGCTTTTTGCTTTTCACTTGCATATCTTTCAGTTTGTAAGAAATCAGACATATATCATCGGTGAAGTCCAGATCCTCCAAGTTTCTTTTTGTGTGAGTCCATTTCATGGCTGTTTCCTCATTGCCCGTTGTCTGTCGCATTATCCAATCTACTGCAATCAGGAAAATCATTGGCGATAGTAGACAGCCTTGCCTCACTCCCGTCCTCACTTCAAAGGATTAAATATTGTTATTTAATACTGTAATGTAATTAATTTATTTAACTGATGTATTTCTTTCTATATTTGTTCTTATTATAACTAGTGTTTCTGTTTCGAAGAACAACGTCTCAATCCACATGAAAAAGTGAGTTGACTTATTGTTAATTGCTTTAGTTAGTTAGTTGGTTATATAGTTAGCCTGTTCTACTTTTCCCTTTTTTTTCTTGATTTTCTGATTAAATCTACACGGTTGGATATCGGTGAAGGATAAAATCTATCGTAAGGTATTTTCGCTCAGACGCCGCAAAATCTCAATCGATGTGACTTCACAACTTCATCGTTGATTGATTTTGCCGACTTGCCTAACTCTTGATTGATGCCCGATCTAAATATATTACTAACATGTGAGACAGAAGTCAGACACAGATGGTCGAGAACAGCTAACCAGCCAACCCTTTCATGTCTTCTACATTTGATGGGTATGTCTGTCACTCACAGCCATAGAGGAGGGGACAGAGTGAACTGCTGAGCAGTACACACGTCGTTCGATCGATAGCCGGTTGGATATCACGTGTACGCTAGAGATGTTGTTCTACCCATCTAAGTATATTTAGACGAAATCGGGGCGAATAATAATAACAGCTTTATTCCAAACAGTATTTATGGTACAGTTATGGAATTTCCAGCGTGCATTACAATATATTGCATCTAATCACCTCATAAATTTTATAAGATTTTAAAATCAAAAAGCAACACCCCCCAAAAGAGAAGATAAATGAAAATAAGTAAATAAAAAGAACAGCATTGCGTTCACACTTTAAACAATGCACCACAGGATATGAAGTATAAAGTTGATGTGTGATAGAAGATGAGAACAACGGTGTAATAATAACGAGGATAGGAAAACAAAAACTAATGGGACTATTTGTTAGAGTGCTGCAATAAGTTGATCGTGTCATACCTAACGGATTTCTCATCACCATATAACAGCTGTGTCAGATATGGTATTGTGGAGTTTGGTACTTGTCAGTCCTAGCATTTAGCCTCCTATAACTGCTTGTAGTTCTACCAGATGAAATGCAAGGAGACAGCTGCGTATAGAGAGGATCCCCGGGATCTGACAATATCGTATTCGCCAGTTTCTTACATGACATAATATGTCTATCCACAATAGTGTTAACCAGTTGGTTGGTTTAACGATATCCCACTTGCCCTACTAACGGCTTTTAGTGCCCTTCTCAGCGAAGCAAAGTCTTTCTTAAGTAGTCTAGGGAAAGATTAATGTGGAGCAGTAAAGGGGGATGGGTAGAATACAAGAATTTATAAACTGAGAAAGCAAAGACTGCTTTATGCTAGATTGCCTAAATTTCCTAATGTAGAACGTTAAGCGAAACATCTTTCTAGTAACTAACTAGCAAGATGTGGTAGGACCAGGAAAGATCGGTGGAAAAACTCAGCCCCAGGGTACTTGACATTGGATGTATTTTCAACCTCTATGCTGCCAATGATAGTGGGGCCATGTTAGCTAACTAGTTGTTGTAGGTCACGTTTACGTCTGAAAGTGAAATTGACTACCTGACATTTAGACGGATTCAGCTTAAGACCGTTTGAAGAGGACCACTGACTGATTTCTGAGAGAAAGTTATTTAATTTTGAACAATCTGACTGAGATTTGACAGGCAAGTTTGTTTTGTAATAGCTTATATCCCCACTCAATGTAATGCAGTGGGGTTTTCGTACACGAATTCTCCCCCCTTCAAGCAAATTTAATGAATTCGGACAAAGCAATAAGAACAACACACCAGGTGAGGGGAGCGGTTGGATAAAACTAAAAATATCCATTATTTATTTCGTCGGTGTGTCTCTCATCAGCTGCATAAAATCTGAATAATAAGGGAATTTAATTGTTCTATTGCACAAAATATCCATCAGAGCATTCCTAGAGAGAAATGAACAAGAAGCAATCAGGAAATAGACGTATCTTTACGGTGATTTCATCCTCAAAAGCAGCTGTACAAACGCATCTCTGCACATTTGAATTCACATAGTCATAATAAGGATAATTATTAATAAATCCAACATATTAACGAAGGTCTGACTGGAAGAGATAATAATTTCCACCTTGATAGCAAAGTTTTGAGCGTGTGAGTGTAAATTACAAGGGTGGTGGTGGTGGGCGGGGAGCATAGAAACAAAAGTACGTAGGATCTAACTGGTGGATGGTGACTAGCAGTGGAATCCAGGATGCGAATTTCGTCCCGTTTGGGACCCGTCATCTGGATGTACGTGCATTTCACGGTGAATGATGATGTTCCCACCAAGGCTCGAACCCAGTGCCCATGGTTCCAAACACCAAAGCGTTATCCACTGGACCGCTTAGGCCACGAGAGCCACCTATTGTGCAACGGGTCATATCAATTATTTAATAGAGTTTTAGATTTCCCCGTCGATTGATTGATTAGACCGAAGTCCTCGGTCTCAGACTGAAACTATGGGCAATGGGTTCGAGCCTTGGTGGGAACACCATCACTCACCGGGGAATGGAGGTACACCCAGATGACGAGTCCCAAACAGGACGAAATGCGCCTTATCCTGGATTCCACTGCTAGTCACCATCCACCAGTTAAATTCTAATTCAATACCCAGACATCGTCGAAGCATCTGTACAAGAAGCCAATAGACGTGTCAACCTGAGACCGAGCACTTCGGTCCAATCAATCAATCGACGGGAAAATCTCAAATTCAATTAAAACCACATAGGATTAAGAAATAGTTGCTTCTATGGTGGGTGCATCTTTCTATTCTTTTTCAGTGTATCTAATTTTGGCAGCTATATATATATATATATATATATGTAAATTAAACATCACACTTCATATGTCTGATATCTAAAAGTAGATGAGTTTGACTCATGTATGGTAAGAAATCTATTCTAGGCAAATAAACACAATATGAAATGATGAATTATATTACTCATGTTTATGCTTCCCGCCCCGTTTTGATATATCTAAATAGTGTGCGTTGATCAATTTCATTTGAGAGTATTGGATAACTGACTGGTACTCAACATATAACTTTATACATATAAGAAGTGTAGCAGTTCGTTCAGGTTGCCGTACTTCATGTAGCGCATGCAGGTAGAGAAAAGGGGGAGGGGATTCAAAATTCAATTATAATGAGCAGAAGAGTACGCGAGAAGGAATAGCAACAAGAAAAAGACATATGAGGATTTTTTATGGATCTTGGAGGTCGCAGTGAAGTACATTTTATTTTCGACGAAGTTATCAACTAGGTAGATTTGTACATTCGTGTATTTATAATGAATGTGTGAGAGGGTTCCAGAACTCTTTTCGATCAAGGGGCAAGTTAATAAAATTAGTTCTCTTTATGAATTTAGTTAGACAAAGCAATAAGAAGATGATTTTTTATTCCTTTACGTTCCCAGTGGAACATGGGGTGGTGGGGGGCTTCAAGCTAGAGGCTAGAAGTTTGGGTAGCAGTGGTGTTTATTTTTTTTTTTTTAACGGGATGGGGTTGCTAGCCTCATGTTCAACCTTCCCTCTTTACCAGTCTTATTACCGGGATTAGCGAGGTTTAGGAGTACGTCTGTGGCCGAGCATCGAACCCCGAACCAAATGAGGCGTGGTTGGCGAGGATTTTACCGCTGTGTCACCGACACACCCACATAAGAAGATGTAATTTGTCTGAATCGTGTAATGTGCATATTTGCGCAACACATTTCGAACAATATGTTCACACACAGACTTATCATAAGAATTTATATATGAAATTAATAAAGAGTTAAGTGGTAGGAAAATAAATAGACTTGGGTCAAGTTAAAAGGACATATTGAAGGTCAAAATAACAATGATGATGCGAGTTTTTGTCGACTTTGGTACTCATAAGCTGGATGGTTGTATCTTAATCCCCGTTAATGATTCTGTGGTGACATCTTCAGCGCATACTTCAATTTGAAGTGAGTTTTCAGATTTCTCCACGAGTTTATTAATAATCTCTCCTGGTGACCTTGGATGTGACACTGGTTGTTTTTGTGTGGTTTCAAATCTTCTAGGTTGCTTGTATTGGAACTGATTGTTTCTTTGACTTGAACTTTGTCTGTGTGTTGTGTGTGAGGTTTCTTTTTTATCGGTTGATAAATTTTGTCAATCTCGATGTGTCTATTGATTGATGATTCACTGGAATGCCAGACAGGCTTCTAAAAATTCTCTAGCATTCTTGTTGTTTCCTCTGTATAATATTTGAACGTTGTCCTAGTCGAATTGATATCCGAGGTTGTCTGTATGCAGAGGTTTGAGGGAGTGGATATCATGTCTTTTGACGGCTAGCTTATGATCGTGGATACAAAGACAAAGGGGACGTCCACTTTGGCCAATGTGGTGTTTTTCGCACTTGTTACAGTTTATTTTCTGGATGATGTTAATTTTATCTTCCTTCGTTGATGAGTCTCTTGATTGACATAGAACTGGCTAAGTGAAGTGACTTTGTTGGTTTGTGTACGACGTCAATTCCTAACGGTTTGAAAAGTCTTGTAGTGATTTCTGAGATATCCTTTATATATGGTAAGGCGATTTTCTTTGTGCTTCCTTTGGGGGCTTTTGGTTTGATAGGTTGACTTCGGGGTATATTTCTTTTGATGGAATTCTGTGGATATCCATTCTTTCGGAAGACGTCCATAAGATATTTTTTTTCTCATGGACGTCTTCCAAAAGCAGTCACGTTCAAGGTCACTAGAAGAGATGATTAATAAACTCGTGGAGAAATCTAAAAGCTCACTTCAACGAATTGCGGTATGCGCCGAAGATGTTGCCTAGTAGGCTGATGAAAGCTTCGCAAATTAACTATCCAGCAGCTCAGAGAACACAACCACATCAAAATGAGTCCGTTTAGAGAAATGGGTTTATTAATTGATATGATTATGAACCACAATAAATTGTGTTCTACAGTAAATAATTCTATTTCATTATGTGTTTGTTATATATCTAATAATCATAGTTAAATGTCAGTTAATGTCATATATAAAATAATACATAGGATGGATAGAACTTGAAAAAGGGTGTGCAATTATAGGATTAGTAAACAAATCGAATAAAATAAAAATGCTACGTAATATTGGGCGAAATTCAA